AAAAAAAAAAAGAATGACAACCGTCCACCTCTGTAAAGCCCAGGGGAGAAGCAGCTTCCGGAGCTGAAAGTAGGTATGTTAGTGACTTCCAGGTAATCCCTACTAGGCATCAACTGGAGGCCATTCTGGAGACCAGGGGGGTGCAAACAGTTCATCTGCTCAACTGCTAACTAACTGACAGGTTGGAAGCTCAAGTCCACCCGGAGAGGACTAAGAAAGACCTGGCAATCTACTGCTGAAAAATCAGCCACTGAAAACCTGTGGAGCTGCACAGAAAGATGAAACAGGATCCATGCCTCACACCGTATACAAAAACTAACACAAGATGATCAGACCTAAATGTAAAATCAGACCTAAATGTAAAACCCGTACTATACAGAGCATCAAAGGAAAAAATAGGGGCAAAGTTAAGGGGCTCTAATTTATAGCAGAAATAGACTATCAAACATAACTAACAATGCACAAGCAGTAATAAAGTAGACAACTAGGACCTCCTAAAAATTTAACCCTTACACACATCAAAAAATTTCTCCAAACGAATGACAAGAGAACCTAAGGACTAGCGGAAAAAACTGCCAATGACATATCTGACAAAGGACTAATCTCTAAAACTTACAGAAAAGTTTAACACCTCAAAAACAAAAAGACAAACAATACAACTGAAAAATGAGCATAGTACATGAAGAGACACTTCACCAAAGAAGACATTCAGCCAGCCAACCAACACAAAGAAATGCTCACGATCCTTAGTCATTGTTATTGTTATGTGCCGTCAAGTCGGACCTGACTCATAGCGACCCCCCCTTGGGTTTCCGAGGCATTAGAGAGATGCACTCGGAATGCTCTGGCCCCCCCAACACACACACACACACACCACCACCACTCGCTCACACACTCTGGTAGCATCGTGGCTAAGACACTTGCCTGCTAACCAGACGGCAGGCAGTTCAAACCCACCAGCCAGTCCTCAGAAGGAAGGTTGGGCAATCCTACTTCCGTAGTGATACTGCCTCGGAAACCCAAGGAGGGGTCCCTATGAGTGGGGCCGACTCAACGGCACATAACAACAACAACAGAGAGATGCAAATCAGAACAACAGTGAGATACCATCTCACCCCAGCACTAAAAGCAAAGTTCAGAAAACAGTAACAAATGCTAGTATGGTTGTGGAGAGATTGGAACTCTCTTACATTACTGGTGAGACTGTGAAACGGTACAACCACTGTGGAAAACAGTATCATGCTTCCTTAAAAAGTTGGAAATAGAAATACCATGTGATCTAGCAATCCAACCAGTAGAAACATATCTTACAGAACTAAGAGCCATGGCACAAACAGACTTAGGCACACCCATGTTCACTGCAGTATTATTCACAAAAGCAAAAAGATGGAAACAACCTAAGTGCCCATCAATGGATGAAAGGATGAACAAACTAAGATACATACACACAATGGAATACTATGCAACATTAAAGATTATGTTGAGTGAAATAAGTCTATCACAAAAGGACCAACATTGTATGGTATCATTAGTATAAAAAGTCAAGGAAAGGTTTACACAGAGAAAGAGACACTCTTTGATGGTTACCAGGGATGGGATGGGGGTGGGGTGAGAATCACTAACTAGAGAGTAGCCACATGCTAACTGGGGTGAAGGAAAGGGCAACATGCAAGAAGGGGGACATGGGTACAACATGACTAAGGCAAAGGACGACACAGGGAGGCAGACGAGGGTACAAGACCACAGGGCAATACTGTCACACACGCAATCCTGCAGGAACAGTAGTAACAAACAGCACCAACCAGCAGATACACAGGTGGACATGCAAGCTCCACACACGTGGAAGGCAAATGGGAGGACACCCACGAGAACATGTCAGTTTGTTAGAGGACAGCCCTACATGCGTATGTGTACTGCACATGGGCTGTAAATATATCCAAAGATGGAGTAGAGCACACAGGAAGCAAAGTTTGGAGAACTTCTTAGCCATAACCAACACCTTGAGGGAATGAGTAACTGGGCTGGGGGACTCAGGACCACAGTCATGGGGGATACCCAGGTCAACTGGCTTAAGACAGTCTACAAAGACAATGTTCTATCGCCTACTAATGTGAGTAGGGACCAAGCTCCCAAAAGCTTATGAGTGACCACCTAAGACGCAACTATTGGTCTCTCCTCATCCACAACAGGGAAGAGTGAAGAAAATCAAAGACTCAAGGCAATAATTAGTTCAAAGGACTAATGGACCACGTGAACCCAGCCTCCACGATCCTGAGACCAGGAGAACTAGATCGTGTCCAGCTACCACCACCAACTGCTCTGATCAGAACCACAGTGTAAGCTACTGGGCAGAAAGAGAGGGAATCAAACATAGAATAAAACTCAAAATCCTAAAAAAAAAAAAAAAAATAGACAAGACTTTCTGGTCTGCTGGAAACTGGTGGAACTCAGAGACTGTGGCCCTTAGACATCCTTCAGGTCTAGAACTGAACCACACGTAGGGATTAACTTTCAGCCAAAGAACAGACAGGCCGACAAAGTGACCAGTAACAACAGGGAGGGATGTGGCCCTCCATACAATCGAACATGCGAGAGCCAGAGGGCAACATCTGTCCAGAAACAAAGCTGCGAAGGCAGGAAGGGGCAGAAAAGATGGGAGAATGGAGACAGGGAACCCTGGGATAGGAAGAGGCTGTTACAGTGAGGGGACTGCCGCCAAGGACATGACACAAAATAGGTATGAACTGTTGAATGCAAAACCACTTTGCTCTGTAACCTCCCACCCAAACCACCACAAAAAGCTCAAAACACAGAGAAACAAAGACCCTACGGAGCAAGCCCTGCAACTGTGGCCCTGAAGCCACCTCCAACCCTTAAACCGCAACTAGCCACTGAAGTCTTCTCACAACCAAACCGCACTGCAGCTTAACCGGTAGCAAGTGTCTGCCTGGAGCGCGGTGCTCGTTTAAGAGCAACCGCGATGGGACCAAAGTGACAACAGCAACTCCAACGATCAGACGGGAGCCTCAGGGGGCAGTGAGTTCAGACTCGCCGAACGACGGAGGGGCAGCTCGGAGGGGAGGGGGAGAGGGGCTGCACACCTCGAATAATGGCACTGGTGCCACTGACCTGCACACACAGACACCGCTGAATCAGTGCGTTTGCTGTGAAGATTCTCAGTCACAACAAAACAAACACCATTCAAAAAAATCAAAAGCACTTTGCCCCTCACAGCATTTCTGTCTCCCAGTCCTAACTGACTGGCGAGGGTCGGCACTTTCCGAGTCGTGCCTTTTGACACTGCCTCATGAACTAGTGATGTCAGAGGACATGCCGAACAGGAATTCCTTCCCAGCTCTGCAACTGTGCTTTAATCGCCACTTTCTCCCACGCAACCGCAGAGATGAACTCACACCATGCCCTGGTCTGCTCGGTTGCCTTCTGCACGTGCAAAAGTGGACAATGAAAAAGGAAGACTGAAGAAAGGGCCGTGGTCATGAATCGTGCTGCTGGCAGAGACTGAATACCCCGTGGGCACCAAGAGGGCCGGCAAATCCGTCTTAGAAGAAACACAGCCGGGGCGCCCCTTAGGAGAGAGGCAGGAGACTCGGCCTCGCTTATTTTGGGTATGTCATCAGGAAAAACAAAAAACAAAACTCACTACCAGCGAGTCGATCCCGACTTGTACTGACCCTTCCTTGAGTTTCCCAGGTGGTGTCTCTACAGAAGTAGATGGCCCAGTCTTCCTTCCAAGGAGTGGCTGGTAGGTTTGAACTGCCAGGCTTCTAGTTAGCAGTCATCAAGAAAGTAACTAGAAAAAGACATCGTGGCTGGTAGAGTAGAGGGCCAGCGACAATCAGAGCAGCTCTCCATGAGATGGACTCACACAACAGCCCCAACGACGGATTCCAGCATCAACTACCATGGCGACGGCCCAGGATCTGCCAACTCAAAGCTAGCACCACTAGGTTAAAAGAAAGGGACGGAATCAGAAGGAAGAACTAACAGTCAGGAAGATAAGAGAAACCAAACAATCGCCAGCCAACAGCTTTCAGGGGAAAAGAAAAGGAAGAAAAAAGGAAGAAGTCCTAAAAAAAAAAAGTAACGCGTACCGGCCCTTGATCACATTGGGTGTGCACAGCTGAGGCGCCCCGTCAAAGCACGCTGGGAGGACAAGGACGCTGGCGACAGTAAGAACAGGCATTTCACACCTGCAGTGACAGAACAGCAAAATCCTTCGTCAGTCACATTGCCAGCCTGACAAAACTCCCCTTTATCTGCAGAATTTTGCAATTTAAATCTCACCCTGTCCTGAATTATTCTAGAAAGGAGAACAGCTGTGGTTGAACCGCTAATGACAAGGACAAGCTGCACGCTGCCGTGGCTCTCAGCTCTTAGGAAGCAGACCCACGAGCACACAGCTCCCCACGCTAGTCCCCCGTTCAGGGTCCTCCCTCCCACTGACAGACTTTTCTCACTCACAGCACACGTGGGCTAGTCTGCTACCCCTTCCCCGACCCTGTAGGCTAGTCGGTTATCCCCTTCCCCGACCCTGTAGGCTAGTCGGTTACCCCCTTCCCCAACCCTGTAGGCTAGTCGGTTACCCCCTTCCTGACCCCGTCTGCATCCTCACGCCACACCTCTTTGGACTCCTAACATGAATCTTGGTGTCTGTTTGCCATACTCCAGACAGCTGTCCGCCTTCTGGAGACAAGAGCCAACGAGGCACTCATCCCACTCTAGTGGGCAAGCCAATGGGAGGGCCTCTTTGAGGTGGGCTCTGCTCTGTCCCAAGGCTCAGACCGTGAGCCAATCAGCCAAGTCTTTACAAATGTGCACAGGGACCTGCATCCCACCTTGCAAGGTGACAAAGGTATGTTGCTAGGGCCCAGGGAAGCCAGAGTAAAGAGAATGGGAGCCACTACCCAGTCTCCCCAGCAGCCTGAAAGAAACCCCAAAGTGCCCATCAGACAAGACCTCTAAATGTGAGGCCTCACATGTCACTCCACGGGGAGGGGGTGCCACACAGGACGAGTCTTGACTCTGCTCTGTTCTGTCCTGAACAACAGACCAAACCAAAAACCCAGCTGCCACAGAGTCCACTGACTCACGGCGGCCCGCACGGGTCACAGCGGAACCACGCTCCACAGGGTTTTCAATGGCTGATTTTTTGGAAAGCGACTGCCAGGCCTTCCTCCCAAGGGGACTCTGCGTGGAAGTGAACCGCCAACCTTTGGTGTGCACCACCCAGGGTCTTCCATGAGTCAAAAGACACCGAGGAACCCCCTGTGGCATTGCATGACTCAGGAGCAAGGGGCACTGGGAAGCCCCCATCTCCGCTGATAAGCTTCACACCCAGGACATCAGGCCCCATGGCAACAGACCCAGGCTCTGGGGAGACGCCCCCGTAGCACACGCTAGTACTATAGGCAGAGTCTCTCTTGGTCCCCAGCTTCATGGCTGTTCTGGGGTTGAAGGAAAGGAGCCTAGGAAGGAAAGGAGCCTAGGTGAAGTGAGGAGGCCAACAGGGGGAGACTGGACACACCACTCCCTGGTCCGTGGGACCAGTGACTCAGCAGTGCTGTGCTGAGCGGACACCACAGTCCCTGCCTCCCAGACCCCAGACAGTCAGACAGGTACCCGCCAACCCACTCAAGCGCTGTCCTTTGACAGGAAGAAAGCTATGGAGTGCGGCTGAGTACAAAACAGGTCGTGTGTCCGACGACACAAGGTGACGTAGAGGCCATGCGTCACCCACTGAACTCCCCCGTCCGTGTGCATTTATGGAGACATGGCAAACTAAACTCCACACCACAGATAGTCTTACTTCCCTCATGGGTTGGCTTTTTGTGCTGAATTTGTAAAGACCTTTAAATTAGGGTTTCTATTTTATTTGCTGTCTCTGTAGGATTTGAAGAATCCAACCCCGGGGACACACATTTTACACACATGTCCCCTACTTGTCCACCTCAAGCTTGCTGACATCCACCCTCGGCTTGGCCCTCACGTCAAGGCCGTGACAACAGCACACATATGACATGATTCCCAAAGCTCTAGGCCTGCACTGTCCAATATGGCAGCCATGTGCCACCTGTGGCCATGGGCACTTCAAATGTGGCTAGTTGACACCGTGCTGTGAGTGCCAGGCACACGCAGATTTCGGAGACTTGATATTTAAAATGATCGTAAAGTACCTCAGTGATCTTTCACATGATTACATGCTGAACACCAGGATTTTGGATCCATCATGGTACACACAGTTAAGTATCAACTGCTAACCAAAAGGCTGATGGTTCGAATCCAGAGGTGCCTGTGAAGAAAGGCCTGGCCATCTGCTTCTGAAAAGTCAGTCCTGAATATTCTGTGGACCAGTTCTGCTCCAAAACATGGGGTCACTGGGAGTCGGAGTTGACTCCATGCAACTGGTGGGATCCCGGGCGGGACAATCGGTTAAGCTCTGGGCTACTAACCAAAATGTTGGTGGTTGGAACACATGCAAAGGCACCTCCGGGGATAGGCCTAGTGATCTTACCCCAGAGGTCAGAGCCATTAAAACGCTAGAGAGCAGAGTCTTACGCTGACACAACGTGGGACTGCTATGAATGCAAAGTGCCTTGACGACAACTGATGGTTACAGACGGGCAGATAAATTAGAAGACTCTCAGTCACCTCACTGTGTCCTTTCGCCTTGCGTGTTGCTGCTGGAACATCTTCCACAGCCCACTGGAGTTCCACTGGACAGCCCTACGCTGCAGACAAGACAGCTCCTTTTCAGAAAGATTAGAGAGTCACCCTCTGGGCCCCTGCCTGTCCCCAGCCCCTAGCTGAATAAACGGTGCCGCCAATGTCAGTCACGGCACTGTCGGCTTCACACGTGTGGCCTGCTGCCTTCACAGTCTTGCCCTGCTCCTTACGTAATCTCAGCCCCACTCCCTCTTCCTCTGAATTCCAGTGAAGAGCCAACCTTTTTACCTAAATCACAGCCTATTAGCTGCCACCTCATGTCAAGAAAAAACAGAATCCAAAAGCCCCTTTTTTTTTTTATTGTTTGAAAGGGGAACGAAGAGCAGTAGAAAGGGCAGAAGCATTGAAAAGAGCCTTAAGGTGCTCAGTGCTCACCGTTTCCAGAAAGCACTGTCCTCTTACTTCCTCATTCTCCTCTGATTAAACCACCACGCCTGTGAAACAATCTCCAGGCCAAGTGTTTGCTTTCAGTTTGACTGCCCGGGGAACTGTGGGTCCGGGGGCTGCTACGTGGATAGCACATTCTAGGGAAGTGCCTTTGAAATCCCCAAAAAGGACCGCCTGCAAAAGCCCTCCTTACATAGTAATGATTTGCCGTGCACTGCCAGCAGATGCGCCCAGATGCAACGCTCAGAACAGCGCAGGCGGGACGGGGCAGAACACATGACAGAAATGAGGACATTCAGGGAAGCTGTGGCCTAGCCGAGCTGTGCTGTCAACCAACTGAACAAGGAAGCAAATTCCCGACAGACGTCTGCAGGCCTCACCACCTCAAGGATGGATGAGGGCAGGCGAGGAAACAACGCAGAGAGGGAGGGACAGCCAAGCCTTATCTTCCCAAAGGGCATTCTTGGTTCTCTGACAGTTCCAGGAGCCCTTGGGTGGTGGAAACAGCGAAGCACTCAGCTACTAGCCAAAAGGCTGGCAGTTTGAAGCCCCTAGAGGAGCCTTGGAAAGCAGGCCTGCTGAATGAGCCCCACACGGAGGCACCGTGGGCCAGCGTCGACTCCACTCTGGCAACTGGCTTTCTGGACCCATCCCAAGGTCTGGGTAAGTGTCAGGTCAGTGCTACTAGCTACGCCACTCCACTCATCTTAGCTGGCAAAGAGGACCCTGGCTGCTAACTAACTACCCCTGCAGTTTCCCCGTGTAAATCACACATCGCTTCAGGGAACAGCTATGCGGGAACCCAGAATCCCAATTCAGCATCCAGCTCATTTGCAAGTTTAATCAATTCCATTTTAATGAGCCATATCGGTTTGCATTAAAATCCATGAGCCTCCTTCGACAGGCTCTCTGGACCTTCCCTGAGAGAGTGCGGGATTTATCTGACAATTTAACGTCCTGTCCACCTGACTGGGAAATTCGCGTCCACCAAGTGTGCTTACGGATCCCTGCAGCCCTCTCAATGGTCGCATCTCAGATCGAGCAGCTGCAGACACTGTTCTCTCCAATTAGCGACCTCGATGGAGATCATTAATTTATATCTGTATGTCCGTAAAATGAAGCTATCTGTTCGAGATGTCTAAAACCAAACCTACTGCCGTGGATTCCTGCCCACAGTGGCCCTGCAGGGCAGAACAGAACAGCCCTATGGGGCTGTGACTTTCATCAAAGGAGACGGCTGTAGCTCTCTCCCTGGGAGCAGCTCAGGGGTTCAAACCACCAACCCTACAGAGAGTGGCCAAGTGTTTAAGCACTGCACCCCCAGGGCTCCGTGGGTCCCGGGTCCCGTGACTCCTGAATCACTCAGCAGTTGCATCAGCAGCAGCAAGGTCACAGTCACCATTGAAGGCAAATACATTCTTTACATTTAGAACCTGGTCCATGACTCAGCTGTGCTTATCGGCTGTGTGACCTTGGGCAAGTTCACTTTACCTCTCTGAGCCAAGGTGTGTATGTTTGTGTGTGAATGTGTGCTTTAATTAGTCAAATGTGATGATTTCCTCCAACCTTGCCTGATTTTATGAGCTGAAGCAATAATGTATGTAAAACCATCACCAGCTCAGTGTTTGTCCAAGTACTCAATACTTTCCCAGGCCTGAGTCCCAACATGGAGCTCTGGTAGCACACTGGTTAAGCATTCAGCTGCTAACTGAATGGATGATGGTTTGCATTCGCCCAGGGACCCACAGAAGAAAGACCAGGCAATCTTATTCAACCCACAGCTTCTGACTCAGTGATGTTAAGGGACCAAGCAGCACTGCTCCACAGGGTTTCCAAGGCTGTAACCGTTACTGGAGATCACCAGGTCTTTTTCCCTCAGAGCAGCTGGTGGGTTCAAACCTCCAAGATAGCGGCTGAGCGCCAACCACTGCACCACCAGGTCTCCTTAAAGATGGCAGCCTAGGAAAGGCTACGGGGCAGTTCTCCTCTAGTGGCTGAGGCGGAATGGACCCAACTGCACAGAGTCCCAGTGTACTCTGTGGCGTGCTGAGCCGCGAGAGTGTGGCAGTGTTAACTCTGTTGTGTTTAGAACAGTTCTCTCTTGAGTTGTAAACTGAGTCTCTGTTGTTCTTTGTTCTCTGCAGACACAGTAAAGGTGAGGCTCATGGCCACCACATCGACTGACTGAACGACTCCTTAGTCCCCAGACAAGGACGCCCAACCCTCAAAGGCACTGAGCCCTGCTGCCCAAACTTTCTGGCACTCCAGTTAAAGTAAGAGTTCAGATAGGGCCGGGCCGGGCTGGGGTGGGACCAGAGAGTCTGCCAAGCAGTGGTCACTCTGGGCGGCCAGGCCAATGCAGGCGACTTCTCACGCCGGCTCCGTTGACTTCAGGAGCGGAGACTGGTTCGTCGCGGGCTGGGACCGCCCTGTGCGTTGCAGGCTAGACCTGCATCCCTGACCTCTACCCTCTGGTTGCCGGCTAGCACTTCCCTGCCTGCAGCTGTGACACCCCAAAATGTCCCTTGTCGTCGCCAGACGTCCCCTGAGAAGCAAAAGCGCCCGGCTGCGATGCACGGCCACGTAAGCTGCTACAATCAAGGTGCGCCCACCCCCGAGGTCACCTGGAGCGGGCGGCAGGTACTAGCGAGCCTATTTCACTGATGGGGAAACTGAGGCTGTGCGAGGGCGCACTGATGGGGAAACTGAGGGCGGCCGAGCCCAGGCTGGGGGTGGAGGGGTCTGGGCTCGCGGAGAGCACGTAACCGCGCGTCCGCCACGGGTCCCTGGGGGCGCACCCGGACGTGCGGCACCCCCTCCACACCGCAGCCGGCCACCGGAAGCGGGTTCCGGGCCGCGGAGACGCCGCTGCAGCGCGCTGAGAGCCTGGACATGGGCCCGAGGACTCCGCTTCATGGCCCGCCGGGGGACGCGGGAACCCAAGGGTCCCTACCCCGAGGCTGCCCGGCCAACCGCACTGAGAGGCCGTCCCCGGCGTCCACGCGCCCCCTCCCCCACCCCCGGTGAGTTTTTGTGGGAGGCGGCCGCAGGCTACCCACCCAGAAGCAGGCCGTCCATGTCAAAGAGCAGGTGGGTGACGGGCCGCGGCGGGGGTGAGGGCGCCGCCATGGTGCTGCTGTATCTACCGGGTGGGGGCGGGGAGAGCTGCGCGCGCCCGCCTTCCCGCGCCGCACCGCGCACGCGCGCCCACTGCTGCGCACGCGCACGCGCACGCGCGCCCCAGGCATCTTCTCGCGGTTCTGCGCACGCACGCCCTCAGCCGCCTCCGCGCGCCCCGGTACCTTGGAGCCCTTTTGCGCACGCGCATCCCGAGTCGTCCTCGCACGGTCTCGCGCACGCACATCCCCGGCCATCACCTCCACAGCTGGCGCCGTCAGGGGCGGGGCAGTGGTGCGGACAGAGGCGGCACGCTTGTCCGCACCGACCCTCCCTCGCTTCACATCCCAGAGCGGGCTTAGCCGCGCAACCATGGGCCACGCGGAGTCGAGTTCCTCGGCTGGGCCCGGATTCCAGTTTTCAATAGAAATTGGACAGTGCGTGGTGGGAGGAAGGAGGGGGGGTCATTGAGGTGACAGTGCCAGGAGTCATGAGGGGAGAGGGGGCGCAAAGATGATCAGGATGGCATCACTGCGAATCATCGATACATGTGCAGCCGTACGGACTGAGTCACGTCCCCCATGTGGGTTTGTTCCACCTTGAAACGCCAGCACTTAGACCCTCGAAGTGGCCCTGTGGACTTTGCTTGCCGGTGTCGCCGCGGTCACCGGCCCTGGGCAGCGCATGCGCAGTGCGGCGTGAGGCTGCCCGGGTACCGGAGGCCCTCAGCCTCTGGGCCTTTACATACTGGCCCGCCCTTGTTGGTGCATTCTCCCAAAACCCCGCCCGGCTGAAATCTGGTGGGACAGGTATTCAAGGAAGATGCTGAAATTAAACACAAAAGCCTTATTCCGGGATTTTCTTCCTTTTCTAACCTTTCTGAATGCATCCTGGAAAGCATTTTTTCCTTGCTATTCTCAGAAACGGAGCTCTGGTAGCATAGTGGCTGAGGCACTTGATTGCTAACCAGAAGGCTGGCGGTTCAAACCCACCAGCCACTCCTCGGAAGAAACATGGGGCAATCTACTTCCGTAGTGATACTGCCTTGGAAACCCAATGGCACATAACAACAACAACATTCTCAGAAACACATGTTGTCCCTGTTTTTGTTTAGTGTTGGTTTGCATTGTAGATACTGTTTAAGAATAGCAGAAGAGTCCCCTGGTGACGCAAGGGGTTAAGCGGTCAACGACTTGCCTAAAGTTTGGCAGTTACAACTTTCCCAGAGGCTACTGGGTAGAAAGGCCTGGTGATCTGGGTCTGAAAGGTCACTGTGGAGCAGAGCCCACATGACGTGGCCCTGAGTTGGAATGGACTCAGGGCAACTAACCACAACAACAGGCAGAAATAAAAATTCAGATGTTTTAAAACTTGAGGGTTGTCTCAGTTACCTAGTGCTGCTATTAAGAGAAATACCACACATGGATGACTTAAACAGAAACGTGTTCTCTCCCAGTTGAGGAGGCTAGGAGTCTGGGTTGAGGGCCTGGCTCTAGGCGCAGGCTTTTGCCCTCTGTGGGCTCTGGGGGACGGTCCTTGTCTCTGGATCTTTTGCTCCTGAGCAGTCCTTGAGTGGCTTGGCATGTCTTCCATCCTCTCTGCTGTCCTCCCTATATATTTGTCAGCAAATAAATGTCCTGTCCTTTATAGTTTATAAGAGATTGACTCAAAACACACCCTCCACTGATCCTGTCTCATTCACCTAACAAAGACAGCCCACTCCCAAATGGGACTGAAACCACAGGGATAAAACCCACTGCCCTTGAGTCAATTCCTGCTCATTGTGATCCCCTTTAGGTTTCTGAGGCTGTAAATCTTTACAGAAGGAGATTTCTTCATTTTCCTTCCCCATTGTTGTTGTTGTTGTTGTTATGTGCCCTCAAGTCAGACCCAACTCATACTGACCCCTCCTTGGGTTTCTGAGGTGATATCATTACGGAAGTAGATTGCCCAACCTTCC